GGAGCAAGCAGCTATGGCTGATCCTCAGCCCTGCCCTAAGAGGCCCCGAATCTCAGTGTCCCGGTAATTGCTGCAAGCACCGCTGAGAGAAAGCCGCCCTCGAGTTCCGAGTTCTGCCCACTGCCAGACAGTCCAGTTTCTCCCCATATGAGTCTGGGTCCCCAGAGACTTCCTGGAACTGGCGTTCAGGGCAGTCAGGAGCTTGTGTCTCCCTCCCGATTCAAAAAGACAGCCACGTCCTCAGTTGCCAGCTCTTGCCCCATGTGCCTCCATACCTCTGCACTTTACTTCCACACCGCCCCTCCTCTGAGTCTCAGTGTGCTTTTCTCTTTCCTTCTAGTTGTAGAATTTCCACTCAGCCAGCCTTCCTGTAGTTCTGGATGATGTCCGTTTTGTCTCTTAGTTGTATTTTTGAAGTTGTTGTGGGAGGCAGCAATTTCCGGTGTTTACCTATGCCGCCATCTTGGTTCTCCTATTATATTCACTTTTAAAGAAAAGACAACTCAAATAGTTGCTGGAAGACAAAGTTAATACCAGTATGAGACTAGGCCACCCTTACACAGTAAGATGAAAAGAAATGTAAATGAGTAAGTTGGAATATAAACCAAATGAAATAACTTGTTTTTTTGTTTTGTTCCCTTCTAGGTAATGTAGATCAGAGGTCCTCAAACTTTTTAAACAGGGGGCCAGTTCACTGTCCCTCAGACATTCCACACATGCGCATTGCGGGCCTGGGACAAGTCGGCTGCTAAGCAGGACAGGCAGCGGCAGCAAAAACACCCGGCGGGCCGGATAAATGTTTTTGGCGGGCCACATGTGGCCCGCGGGCCGTAGTTTGAGGACGCCTGCTGTAGATGCTTTATAGTTGGTAAGGGCTACATTCCAGGCCGAGTGGGTTTGTCATAAAGATGGGCCCCAATCCCAAATGCCTGGCGAGTGTTGCTCAGTGGTTGACTGTTGACCTATGAACCAGGAGGTCATGTTTCGATTCCCAGTCAGGACACATGCCCAGGTTAGAGGCTCATCCCCAGTAGGGGTGTGCAGGAGGCAGCCGATCAATGATTCTCTCTCATTATTGATGTTTCTATCTCTCTCCCTCTCCCTCCCTCTCTGAAATAAAAAAAATACACATTTAAAAAAAATCATACAGAAGTCTTTAAGCAGGTAAGGCAGTTAGCGATTGTATGGTTTATGTTTAAAAGTGCACATGTAAATGCTTTTCCACCCATTAGCCTGGGATCCTCACAGCCCCGCTCTAAGGCACACAGATATGATAAACAAAGCTCAGAAAGCTAAGTGACCCCAGGCTTCAGAGTCCTGCCTCTAAAATAAGGACAGCACCGGACTTGAAAATGCTTCTCCACCTACCCTATAGCCCACAAGCCTAGGACCCAGCCAAGAGGACACTAAGAATGAGGATACGGCTAACAGGTAGTGTGCACCAAGCGGGAAGCTAAACAGTTTACAGGCATCGCCTCATTCAACCCTTAGAGCCACCCTCCCTCCAGATGGAGAAAGTGAGGTTCTAAAAGGTGAGCACAGCCTGTCAATGGGCGAGTAACCACATGGAGGCAGAGCCGAGGACCCCACAGCGGCCTCTTCCCATCACAGTGCTTGTCCCCTTGACCTTGGCCTGTCCATTCACTTAGAGTTTTAGTTATTCCACAGATAGCTCATAGCATTTAGCTTAAGTCTTAGACATCCAAGTGAGAACTATAAAAACCACCAAAAATGAGCTACAGCTGAGGCTACTTTAAATATTATGTTATTTATATATTAATGTAGTTTATAAATTAAATCATATTCATAACACCTAAGCTATAAAGAGGGAAATCAGTCTTAGGGCAATCCAAGGTCTTTCTATTATGCAGGGAGAGAGTAAAGACACTGATTAAGTTCAGATTTAGTTAAGGCCATTGTATAAGTCTTTGACTATTAAATAAGCCTGTTTATGTACAGAAAGCCTGACAGTTAGCTCCCCTTTCTCTTACCTCACCCCTCACTGCTCTTCCTCCTTACCAGGGCACTCTTCTCTAAAACAAGTTAATGAATGACCTGGGGAGACTTCTAGGTGCTAAAGAACTTCCCTGTACACCAGGGTACAGCCCACCCTACTCTGGCGCTGTGGGCTCCTCAGGCTAAAGGCTCACTCCCAGCCCCTGCAAATGCCTGCCCACACACAGAGAACTTCATTCTCATTCAGGGAGTACCAGTAGGAAGGAGATCTAGATATACAACAGTAGAAAAACCTATAAGGTTCTCTACAATAATCAATCTAGGCCCTCATTCTTAAATAAAAATGGAAAACCCAAGCAGCACTGGACGTAATAAAGAAAACCAGCAACATGGTGAACCAGCATGGCCAGGGGTGAACCTGAGGAGGGGCAGTGAAGGATTAAAGAAGACAGACAAGAGAATACAGTTGGGGCTAGGTAGGTTCACTTGTGCCTGGATGAGGACATAGTGACCCAGCCTGCAAGCCAAAGCTTTATTTTATAGTCAGAGCACACAAAGCAAAACAAGGGAAGTGGTCAACATGTTTACAATGTTACTGCAAGTTTCACCTTGTTTTGGCAGCACCTGCTGCACCTCCCACAGCCCATTAGCTACCTAGGAACAAGGGAGGCCTATGAGGTCAAGCTTAATTATGCTAGGAGGGCTCTGCCCTCCAAGCTGGGACTTGTTTGTGGCCCTGCCACAGGTCAGTCCAAGGCTTGACCCTATAGCCACTCCCTACACATGGAAGATAAAATTTAAGACTAACCAACATTAAATAAATAAATAATCTGAGCCCAGAGGAAACAAAGACAACTCAGAGAACAGAAGAAAAATTTTAAATTTTTTTCCTAATTATGAGAGTAGTAAGGAGATAATCTGAAAACAGGAACATGATGTTATAAAAAAAAAAAGAAAGAACAATTAAACAAAAAGAAAAAACACACATTTGTAAATAATATGTCTGCTGAAACCAAACATTTCATAGAAAGTTAAAAGAGAAAGTCTTTTAACTTAAAAGAATCTTCCAGGTGCAAACAAAAACTACTAGGGGAGATGAGACCAACAGGGTAGGGTACAGCCAGGAGGCTCAGTTCCTGACTCAAAGGTGTTTCAGGGAGAAGCAGAGGCGCAGAATAAAAAACATAATTTAGTAACATTAGTAAATGAAAACTTCCCCGAGCTCATGATAGGCACGAGTTTTCAAACTGAAAAGAAGCACTGAATGTTGAGCAAGATAAAAATGACAAAGACATCGTGATAAAATTTCAACACTCCCAGGCTGAGGAGCAAAGCCCCAACAGGTTAGTTAGAAAGGAATGGCCGTCACTTAGCATCACT